TCTCAAGCCATTTTTCGGCCAATTTAACCCAATTATGACGTCACTTATCAACCTGAATATAATTTATGACATATTAATCTCATTTTTATAGCCTATTTCACATTAATAGCCTAAAAATGTAAGTTATGGCATAACTTATAAACAAAAAAAATATATAATTGACGTCACTTTAATCCTATTTTAATCACTTATCAATGGTTTCCCTCTACTCGCCTAACTGAAAATTAGATTAAACGCAATAAATGTAAATTAGATTTAAACGCAATAAGTGACATTCATATTTGGGTTAAATGCTGGAAAGTGACTGAAAGCAATAATCGTGCAAATAAACACTTCTAAAAGTAGTAAATTAACTACTTTATTTTTAAGGGGTAGTAATTGGGAAAGTGCCCTTTCTTGCCTTCCCCCTTTTTTTTCATGTGTTGGTACTTGGTAGTTCTTTTTGCGGCAAAAGTGGCAGTGGGTGGGTTTTTCTTGGTGTTATGGTGGGTAGTTTTATTTTTCTTTTTCCTTTTTTCTTTGGAGGGTGGGGGGGAGAATTGGGGGTGATGCGGATCAAAAGCAACATGATTGATATATTACTTTCTTTATTTTTGTTCGATTCATCTAAAGAAAATAATTAACGTTCCAACCATGATGCCTTCGATCCACATCGGAGGAGGTCAGGAATCAAGGTTGCAAACTTGGGGGTACGAAGAAAATGACTAATGGCCATTTGATTCGTCAAGGGAAAGAGAAAGAGTTTAGAAAGGAATGTAAGAGAACGGAAAAAAACCCCCTTTGATATAAAAGGTTGTTAGCAAAAAATATTTCATCTACTTTCACCCTTATTCACGACAATTACACCCACTTCATGACAATTACACCCACTCCCATGGTGTGACCACCACCACTAGTCCACCACCGCTCCTTACCGCTGCACCACCAGTCCCTCCCTTCCATTTGCTATAGTCCCTTCCCCACCCTGCTGCCACATCGGCATCCCTTCACCGCCCCTTCTTACATCTCTATTTTTTATCACCATGGTTATGTACTTATATGTGAAGTTTTAATAGTAGAATTAAGCACAAAAACTCCATGAAAACTTTAGGCCTAGAGTGTTTTGCTCAAATTAAAACATTAAATATCATAATTTATGACATAAAAAAGGTATAATTTAATTACTCTATTTACAATTAGTTTTTTCGAATTTTTTGGTTGTGGCTTTTTTGATGGATATTGGTGGGTGTTTGGGTTGGGGTTTTTGTCTAGGAAAATTGGTGGCTTTGTGTGGGTTTCTCAGTGATTTAATGATGGTTTTGGATGGTGTTAGGGTAGCTGGGTTATTTGGTGCTTGGTTGTGGGGGTGGCACCGGTGAGGCGGGGGTGATGGGGGCGACTTCAGTGAGGATGGTGGTTGTGAGTCGGTGACAGATTGTGTGGTTGTGGCGTGGGGGTGTGGTGGACGTCCATTGTTGTTTGTGAATGGAAATACCATGGGGGTGTGGAGAATCAAATTAGAGGATCTTCTTGGGGTAATGGAGGGGGTAAAGCAAATGATTAAAATGTCATTACAGACGATAACAAAGGGAATTAAGCTTGTTCATTCCCTTTCCCTTTTCTGAAAACCCTATACCAAACGCCCCTAAATTTTCCTAAGAAACAATGGGAATGAGTCATCTTGATTCTGTTACCCTTTTAAAAACCCCAAACCAACCAAAAGCCTCCTGAGTAGGCTGTTTAGAGTGCAGTCTAGACCGCACCAAACCGCAATTTTGTGGTGCAGTTTTCGAAAATGATGAAACTGCGATGTTGCGGTTTCCAAAAAAATTTAGATCAAACCGCACCGCAAACCGCATCACACTGTTAAATTGCAGATATTTAAACCATTTTTATCAAAAAAAAAACAAAAAAAAAACATAAAAATATGATGTAATCTTTAACTATTAAGTAATTAAAGGTTAAAAAAAAAGAGAGTTTAATATTCTAATTATAGGTTTACAAAATAAAGTAAAAGTGTTTTTTTTACAAAAATATTTATAATTTTTCAAAAATGTGGTTAAACCATAAATTGCCCTGCACTAAACCGCATTTTGCAGTGCGGTTTGGTGCAGTTTGATTATAAGTGCGGTTTATAAAAATGCAAACTGCAATTTTGAAATATAAGAACAAAATACAAATAGTTTTGGGCACACGCAAAGGAAAGTTCCTACTTCCTAGTATATAAAAAAGAACAATCCATCTAACACATTTAAACTTCAACAACGATAGCCAACAAGAACCAAATCAAATTTCACATGATACCCAATGCCTAGGAAACCAAATCCATTGACTTAATATAAGCTGATGATAAGAAACAAGAACAAAACCAATTTTGACATAATACCCAATGCCTACGCAGGCCATAGGTAATGCCAAAATGGGATAAGACTGAGCCTCACGTTAAGAGGATCAACCCAATTAAAGCATCCCACCCATTCCCCCACACACCCTATGAAAAAAAGACTGTGAGGTACTAGGAGATGAGTATGCAACAATCCCAACATTGACCCATATCATGATATCATAATATCATAGGTCATGTAAAGAAGCATGTGAGTAAGTGAACATCTATTGATCTATTGTCTATATCTATACTAACAGAAGTATTAAAATGCACATAACCCTAAAAACACATGTTGCTCCCTCCACTGGTCTTCCTTTCCCTTTTAAAGAACGAAAATGTAAACATTATGTGTCACACTACAATGTTATCCTCAACAAACTAGCTTTTAACCTTCTCTTCATCCTTCACCATCACTTCTCTATTCTGCCATCAATAGCCAAAAAAGAACAAAAAATTCCGTGCATGTGAGACTTGGGTTTGACCTTAGGACTGGAGCTTGGGTCATGAATAAAAAGCACAGAGGCATAAAACTAGTATTTTTTCGACTCAACCACTTATGTTAGTGAATCAAAAGACACAAAGAGAACTTCCTAGACCCCTTGTGTCATTGAATATTCACCCCCCCACCCCCCACGCTCAATCGCTCATACACGCCCACTCACCCATCCAAATGCACACGCACACTGTATGAAGGAAAACTGATGTAGAAGAAGAGAAATATTTTTCTGTGTTAAAAAATAACAGCCCCAAAACAGTTTTTAAAGCCAATGAAAGTTGCACACACACACACACACAACCATTCCCATCTTTGAGTGAGGAGGGCTGACTTGAAAGGAACTATCATTATGCAATCATTCCCCTCTCTTTGTGGGAGGGCTAACTTGAAAGGAACTATATTATGCAATCATAACTCTTACATAAGATCCACCTCTATCACTAATTTCAATGCTTCGTGAACTCTGGAATGAAGATAAAAAGAATAAATGTACACAATACTCTTGCGTCCCAGAGTGCCTGGATCTGTATAATGATAGGTGTGCAGTATTTAGGCACGTCAAGAGGCAACAACTAATAGCAGGGACAGCTGAGCAACCCAAAGGTGCATCAAATTTATGGACAGATTCCATAGACGGGAAGATAAATGATGATCGATTCAAGACATCTAGATAATTTAGCAGGCTTAGAAATTAAAAGGGACCAGAGGATCCATGAGTGGTAGGCTGGCAGAGTGGATTGACTAACAACAACCGTAGCAGGATTAATCGAACATAAATATGTTTTCATGAAACAGGAGACGTATATGCTGTTTAGCCAGGTCCAGGAGCATAGAGAAATACTCAAGAAAACTCCAGCTCTAGTACAAAGTACTCGCTGAAGTTAAAAAGGTGTAAGGGAAACATTCGACATTATCTGTGAGATTAATGAAGAATCAACGTAAAGGAGTGTCTCCGGTTCCTTCAGAACCTCAGCATTTTTTTTATATCAAAACACTACCTCTGCAACAAATAGTCACCCTCTCTGCAAAACTTTAAGGCATTTAATTTTCTCTCCCTCCAGTCTTCCCTACTCTTCCACAATTAGTTTATCACATCTCTTACGCAAGCCTCTTCACTCTGTATCACATAGGGAATACGGGCCATACAGCTCAGCATATACCCAATACAAAATAATCTTAACTCACCAAATTCAAACCTCCTCTTTAGCTGTTGCAAAAGCCTTCTCATGACATTAAAGAACAATATCAAGAAATTGCTCAATAATGAACACTGCTTATAACTTTTGAGAGAGAAAAAATTGACTAAGATCACTACTTTTAGCCTGTGAGACAACTAGACAAACCTCCTCATCCCCCTCCATCCATTCACTTTTGTATAACTATCTCTGCAGCTGTCCCTAAGAGAAGTATTTTTCATTGTAACTCTTCATTATACTTCCTCCGTTCCCCAAATATTGCAGCATGGAGATAGGACACGGATTGTAAGAAAAAGGATAGAGATAGAGAGGAATATAGATAAGGACTCATATGATGAGGAGAGAGAAAGAAAGAGAAAGAGAGAGAGAAAACAAGTGCAAATAGGGAAATGTTGCAACATTTGTGAAACTTCCTAAAATGGTGATTGTTGCAATATTTGTGGGACGACGGAAGTATACAAGACACTTGCAAGCAGATGAAACAAATAATACAACCAGCCAGAGCAAGAAAAGCCAAAGCATCCTTTTTGCTTCCAGAATAACTAATGCCCACTTCTCCCTAACCACAAGACTTTGTGCTGGGTATGTCACATATCAGGGAGCTGAACTGAACCAAGTGTCAAATACATACCTGAACATAAAGTACTAAGCAGGACAAGATTGTCCTTGGAAGAGAAAGGACGAATGCAATACTGTCTTAGCACATACCTCAACCATCTTGGAGATTCGCATGGAAAATGACGACACTTCACTAAAGAGCATCCATATCTAAACTGTGCAAGCAGTGCTTCTTGACATAACTCATTAGCTTGCATCCAACTTCAAGCTAAGAAAATGAAGTAGGTTAGAAGATTAGATAAAGGTTAATCATGATGAGTAGTCCAAAGCTGAGCACTCTACTAGATCTGTTTCAACAAAGCCAATAAAGAACCAAAATTAGAAGTGAACAGTAAGATGAATGTTCAAATCTGTGTGGTCCACGGTTAATTCAGCTGTTAGGTAAAACATGAGAAACAACCAAAAGGGTAAACCATGTTGATACATTTACCTAATTAAAAGATGATCAAGGTTGAAATATGTGGTCCTTTTGTATACACTATTACCTCAAAAGACATTTGTTGCCAGCCCTAACGAAATTTTTTTCGTTTATAACTGTGACAATCCTCCCCATAATCATCTGAATACTTAATCTTCCCATGTTCACTATGCATCTCCTTACCATTGACTTTTGCAACTTTATTCGAGTGCCGAGATCTATGACTGGACTCTTCACACCGGTGCCTTACGCCATCACCAGAATAACTGTGTTCCAAGCTAGACCTAGAGCGACTGTGAGAATGTCGATCAGATTTTTTCTCATTATATTCCATTCTTTTTCTTTTGCTGCTTTCTTCTTTTGGTTGATAATGTTTCCGAGTAGATTCACGGCCATGCTGCTCTCCAAACTCATCATTACTTCTATAAGTTCTATGGAGCTTTTCTTTCCTGTCTTCCCTCGGCAGAATCCTGCTATCAAGAACATCTTTCTCTGAAGAAGATATATCTGATTGAGCTATCCTAAGATCTCTTACACACTCCGCATTACAAGCAGTTTTCCCTTGTCTATTACGATATGAGTAAGCGTTATCACCATCTGAATTCTCACGATTTCTATGCTTCCCTTCTGAACTCTTGGGAAACTCATCGCCAGAGTGATAAAGGCCCCTTTCCATTGAATCATGGTGGGTATTCACATTGCGGTCTCTATCAAAGATCCGTTCTCTGCAAAGTTGAAATTTAATTGATATAATATTTATATACCCTGAGAACATGCCTTTTAATAAGATGAGAAATAAGAAATTGATAAGAAAATAAGGGAAAAAATGGAGATTGAAGCCACTTTAGCAATAACCAGGAACTCGCAAGAAGAAAAAAAAAGATACGAAGGAAACTAAAAGAACAAGAGAGCTCAGCCAGCATAGAAATTCAATTTAAGGGTGAGAAGGGGTAGGGGGCATGTGAGGGGCAGCAAGGGATGATTAGCTAGCATCAAATATGATACTGAGATTTTGCAATTTTACAAAAATTCAAACAGGGTCAATATAAGAACCAACCATTAACCAACTAGCATTTATATTGCATCAAACTCCCTTTCAACCATAAAAATAAAAGTCAAGCATGCACATAACATATAATGAAGCAGACCGACCCCCCCCCCCCCCAAAAAAAAAAAAAAAAAAAAAAAAAACAATATTCATCTAGTCAACTATGGCTCCTCAACATACACAGCTATGTACAATACATTACAAGCAGTGAAAAGAGTTACCTTTCCAAATCTACACCATAATTCCTCTGCAAATATGCACAATCTTGATGCTCCAGATGATCTACATGTCTTGGTTGCTGAGCAAAATTTCCAACTTGTGGTGTTATGCCTCCCACATTCATATATCCACTGCGCCATTATCCATATGTCAGTCATCAAACATATGAGGAGAGTGGAGGGCAAGGGAAGCAAATGAATCAAGATGAATAATTGAAACACAAAGTATAAACTGATTGTTACAGATACAAGTTTTCACCAAATCAACCCAGGCAAGATAATCCGTTAACCCCTCTAATTTTGTCTCAGGATATAAAAACAACCCTCTCCCCTCTGTCACTGCAGTTTATTGGGTTCACATCTTCATGTTAAAATGACAGCTTTTTAATTCAAACCAAAGATCAGAAATATCATTACTCGGAAACAGCAGATCAAGTGCGAAGGTGGATCATTAGGCATACCAATAACATGCACTAATGTAAATGAATTTTAAGACATAGGTTATAAGGTGCCACTATTTCTGAGGATGAAAGCAGGCTACATAACCCATGACAAATAAATACCCCCACAGAATTCTAACTTTAAGTTATATGACTGATTGAAGGGCCTGAAACTGCACAAAGCTGACTAAATAAATTATCAATATTGATCAAAGAGTGAACACAGTGAAAGCCCAGGGTAATTTCTGAACAGAAGTTATTAAGTCAAGTCTGAGGAACAATCATGGCCATATCAGAGCCTTCTCAGAAGTTGGAAGCTATGACATGATGCCTTTAAAATACTCCATCCAAAATCAGACTGAACGAGCAAAGACATCGAATGAACTACAAGACAAAAAGACCAATGAATTTTGCTGGCATTTTGCATGCCTGTTGCACCACAAATTAGAATTTTAGAGGGAATAGAAATGGCATGTGGCAAAATCTTCGAATTTAGTAAGCCTCATACCTACATTAGGATTTTGAAAGTTGAATAATAGGATCATGTTCAACTTCTAGGAATCTTGTCAAAGGATCATTTATTTACTGAAAGAAAATAACTAATTAACTAATTATAAAAACTAAAAAAAAAAATCATTAATGAAGGTGTATCTCCCGTGGACTCTCAACGGTAATTCAACCATTATCTTCTTTTCAAAAGCGCAAGGTGTTCCAATGCTCCAGGGAAAAAATTAAAGGGATCTAGCACTAAGGTGTGAGGGTGAGAGGCTAAGGCATGACCAACAACTACATGAGGCGCATCTTTTTGCAAAACGTTGTATAGACAATTTTGACTACATTATTTGTACAAGAAACTCTTTTTCTTTACTCTTTCTCTCTCTCTTTTCCCTTTTTTTTTATTTTTTTTATTTTTTATTTTTCTTTTTTTCCCGAGGCCTTAAAGGATGGCTTTTAGAGAAAGAGGGGAGGGGGAAGAACCAAACAATTAAAAGTAAGATTTAAAAGAGTGATTGCACCACATAGTTGCACCTCAGATGTGGCACAATCACTTCTATTCCTAAAACAGTGAAGTAGTAAACTACACACACAATATCTAGCTTGCAGACATAAGCATGCAAATCATGTTACTATGCAATAAACCTTTCGAAAATACGAAGAAAAGCAGAAGTCATAGCTATACCTAACAACAGGATAGCCACCATACATTGATGGGGAGCAGGAAGGAAATGCAATCGGTGAAATGGGAGCTGTGTTGGTATTATAGAACATCATCCCAGGGCCTCCGTACATGTTAATATAGGGCCCAGAATAAGGTTGATTTCCTTGCCAATATGTTGGTGGATAGCCTGATACAGCCCCAGGATGTGAACCAACACCTAGATCACAAGATGAATAAGCAACCACAGAAAAGGCCAAGAATAAGTATGTATACAGTAGATATAACTAGTTACTAAATGACCAACAGAGTAGATAAATCAATCTACCACTCCAGCGGTTTGTGTTGTGGTTCACAGCACCCGGACAGTCTCTAATCAAATGATCCGGAGACCCACACATAAAGCATGTCCGAGGACCCTGAAATAGAGCAATAAGTCAACAATAAACAATTCCACTAAGTTCTCAATATGACATATAAAGTTAAAAACCAAGGGTAGCTAACTACAACTAAATTGATCAACCCATACGGCCATACAAGGTGTCATGGTGAGGTGTAGAGGGAGCGAATGCTATAAATGCAGTTGCCTCCCCTATATTATATATAAACTATCTGCGGGAAGAAGTAAACGAGGTATCATTTTCTAACTTTCATCACCCCCTTTACTGCTTTAATCATATGTGCTATTAATAGTGTCTCTTTATCAATGGTAGCCCCACCATATAATTCTTTCCTTGTACAGGAATCAGACAGATTGACCCATCTATCCATACATTTTTCATCCGTACTTCTCTGTTCAATCATCTAAGATTGTGTTTAAAAAACACTTGAACCCCTTATTCAGTAAGAAGAAAAAGAGAGAGAGAGAGAGAGAGATCTTCTTTCTTATGTCTACAAATGTTGGCACGGGGTACATATTCAGCTTAGCTCTTCTACGCCACAAGGGTTTTCCACAAGAACTCAGGAAATATGGTAAATCTCAGACTCAGCTTTGAATATCCATTAAAACCAAAAGTTCACAATTTTTCACCTATGGGCATGGCTCTCTATAGCAACAAGGAATGTCAGTAAATCGCTCTCTCTCTACCTTTACATTTATTTTTCTTTAGACCATGAATGGCAAAACTCCACCAGTGGGAAACCTGTTGTTAGTCCCAAGCCTGGATAAAGGAGGATTACGGTAGGCCAATGACAGCTAGTGTAAAACTTTGTCACATCACTTGACATGAGATTAAGGCGTTGAAGAAGAAGAAGAAGAAGAAGAAGAAGACACCTTCAACCCCCCCCCCCCCTCCCCCTCTTTTCAAAAAATAAAATCTTTCCAACGCATCATATTTATATTATAGGAAAGACCTTTCTACCATATGGAAAAAGCAATGCTTACAAATCTAATGTCAAATCAAGATCAACCAGGTTGGAAATAAAGCACCAGGTCAACCATTTCAAAGGTATGGCAGATTTTTATCAAAGGAAAATGTAATAATGTTAATCTCTATAGTAAGACTATTAGTATACCTGAACTTCAATGGAAATCCAAACATAAACATGGAAGTCCATAGCTAGATACTATGATAAGCCAACAGTAAATTGTACCGTTCTTCCGCTTAAGCAGCTAATAATAAAAACAAAAGTGCTATTCTCACACATCTTCTCACCAATATGCATGTAACTATCTCATTATGCTATTACTTTCATGATGTGAACGTCCACACAGAGGGAGTATAATTAATTGCAACATTTGTTACTTCATAGTCTTTAATCAATATGTTGCCCATCAACATCTTTATTTTATGAAATTCCAACACCTCAAGAATACAAGTTGAAACAGATCTAACAAAATCCCATAATTTTTCCTATACTCTGATGAGAACTTGTGGTCAAAGTTTGTGAAGTTTGACCTTTAAAAGACAATTGTGCAATAATTCTAAATAGGAGTAATGTAGGCTCTATTTGTTTTGGACGAAAGTGTTTTCAAGGAAAACTCTTTTCCTACTTTCCTCTTTTTGGCTTGAACCAGATGAAAAAAAAAAAAGGAAAAGTTGGAGAAAAAGTTTATTTTACCACTAATACAAACCATATTCCACCAAATTAGAGGAGATGCTGCAATTTCTGTCAAGAAATAAAGCACGGGAAGTCAGACAGTGGCAGCTTCTTGCTTACAAACTAGGTGGGGTTGAAATGATGGTAGTCGAGAGTATTCCAAACAACCAAACAAAGGAAAATAGGATAATGTTGCTCATGACAAACTGTTTTCAGTTGAGGAAACAATCTGAGCCTTAAGAAAATTTAGTAGACCCAGCACTTACCTTGTTTGGTCGTCTAGGATCTGTGAAATTCCTTTCTCCACCTGAAAGTGTGACATCATTACAATATTAAGATCGGAAGCTTTAATCAATTAGATCTTCAATATGGAGTACTAAATTGGAAATATGTTGACGACAAATATTATACCTCCAGTAATGGCATGCACTCCCTCCCCTATCTTGGAGCAAGAAACTACAGGCAACAAACAATATTTTTCAGATAGAGCAATGTTACGAACATCTTAACAAAAAACATGAGAGCATATTGCAAAAATATATTTACTTTTCACAATTTTGAACAAATACCATACAGAAAAGGAAAGTAGATAATGACCTCACCTTCTTCATTAGTTTTAGCTATATTTTGCGGCTCATTTTCCCCTTCGAATTCGCTCAAATCTTCTAATGTACCAGGAGTTTCAGCAGGATGAGCACAATCATGTAGTTTACTAGACTTTTTCTGGATTGCATATTTCCCAGTTACAGGTTGGTTCATTTGCAAACGCTTTTGTGGAACAGTTGTAGCATAAGAAATGTCCTTTACTTGAATTCCAGATTCACCGTCTGCAGAGTAATTGTTAAATGATTACCCAAAGCTTGCACATTGTAAATGTAAATAAGCTCCTCCACACTACATTGAGAAACCAAATTTATTAAGCAACATCTTCTTAGAAGTATGTTGATGTATAGAATACCAGGTGCATATCTATGAAGCACGTCTTTTGAGCCATTCAATAAGAGTTGAGATTCAAGAAAACGCTCAATTGCTTGTGTAAGTGATACATTTGGCAGTAAATCATTAGGTTTGCACTTGGTGGAAGAACACATGGGACATTTTGCATTCTCAGACAACGCTGCACGAATACCTGTTAATGAAATTCAAAGCAGATAAGTGACGAGATGAACAGAAATTATCAAGAGACAAGCAAACATTTAAAAAGCTAACACTTGCTTTTCACGCTTTAATACACAGTTCCAGGTACACACACACACACACATTTCCTCATCCCCTTCCCTGTTCCCTCCCACCCCGCCTCCTTTGCTGTGTCACTGTGTGTGTGTGTGTGCGTGTGTGTGTGTGTGTGTGTGTGTGTGAAATAAATACTAGTACACAATTATATTGGTAGAAAAACCAGATGACAATCTCAACAACACATTTAGATAACAAATAGCTAGGATCAAAACCCCCATACAAAGGCACCCTAACCAAAATAAAGAAAAAAGAAAAAAACTTCCAGCACCAAAATGAAGCCAAGCTGGGGAAAATAAAAAAGTTAGGGAAGGAAAGATGATGTAATGCATGTATTGACAAAGTGCTGAAAATAGGCCCAACTTTTTAAAAAAGTTACAAGATAAGAAGTGATGGACTAAAGACAACAGAAATAAACAATTAGCCATCAGCTATTATTATTTGGCTTTGGATTAAAACTGAATTAGGCCCTATAAAGTTCACCTTAAATAAAACAGATTCAGTACAAATAAGTTCTAATCGGCAAATTAGTTCTAAAAAGTAAAACTGAATTAACAATTATTATTTGGCATTGGATTAAAACTGAAAGAGGCCCTATAAAATTTACCGTAATTAAAACAGATTCAGTACAAATAAGTTTTAATCGGCAAATAATAGTGTTCTAAAAAGTAAAAATCTGTTGCATTCGGTAAAATTTAGTTATAATCAGTATATTTCATTTTTAATCAGTAATTATTAGTAATCATATGCAGTAACAAGCAATAGTAAGTCAATAAAAATCAGTTCTAATTAGTAAAAATAAGTTTCCCAACCAGTAATATTCATTTTAACATCAGTAATAACACTTAATCCCATCAATTCTCATTAATTGTGAAGTCATGGGCCCGTTGTCAGTAGTTGCTATCAGGATCACAGGTCAAAAGAATACATTCTCTGCTATCACAGGGGTAAGGCCGCATACTTTCCCTCACCACACATTGAGTGGGCATGTCTTCATATAAAGATTAGTCATACAAGTCAGGTTTTCTGCAGTTATCCAAGGTCACAACTGTTATCATTCTATACCATTCTGGGCATCTTGCATAAAATTTTGCTATTGAAATCACATACAGCAGCAGTTGGAGGATCAGGGGAGACAATGCAAAATGCAATCAGGTATTTTTCAACTTATTGTTTATTCCAAAATTAACAAATTTGCTAAAACGATGTGAATTTCCATACTACGATGTCTGCTGTATTTGTCAAAATACATTAAACCTAGAATTTGTTGAGCTAACGCTATAAACCATTCCTTGAATTGAATAGTTCACATAAGAAACATAAACAGCAGGGTGCAAGTTTCCAATCATATGTCAATCTATCCAGAGGGAAGGAGATGGTTGAAACGTAGAAATATACAGCAAAAGACTTGTCAATGTCCCATTATCACACTCTAGAATTCAGATTTTGACAACACTTGTATTCAATCATTTAAACGTTTTTTATTTTTTTTGAGAAGACAATCATTTGAACTTTTCACGTTCACCTGAGCATATTTCAGATGTCCGGAGATTCATAGCTATACAATTGTACATTCCACCATCAGTTTTATAAGCAATACATAATATCTGAACTTTGGTACTAATATATGCCAGGTGGTGCAATACATTACAAAGTTGCTAATTGAGCATAGGCAATAATAGCAGAGCATGTGCATTAAAGTTAACTAGCAAAGCTACCAAGTCACACATATTTGCAGATGTGACAACCCATCAAAAAATCTTTTTGTATGAAAACGTGAGCTTAAGTGAATCATAAACAGGTACACATACTTACATTTTCCACAGAAGCTGTGTTGACAACATGGTATCATGACAGCCTCTTTAAAAAAGGTTCTGCAAAGCGAACATTTCAACTCTGATGGCATATCACAGTTCTCCATGGCTAAATGTTTTGCATGATGTGCTCTTCACAAAATCAAAGTCAAATAAAATACCAGATTCAGATATCACTCATCATAAACTCGACAATATTCAAGTCCGGTAACACCTCTATAAAAATTTACCTCTTCAACTCTGTTTGTTCCTCAATTTTGGGCTTAGGCATAACTAGGGTACTTCCCTCATTTGCACTGGAACCTGACAAGAAGAACAAGTTTCATGAATTACAGATATAACAACCTTCTTCAGTAAAACAGAGAACAGTAAGCTTTTTTTACCTTTTGGAGTCAACTGACCAGGGAGAGCTGTCTCAAGCTTTTGGCATTTCACTAGAACTTCCTGAGAGCATCTGTATCAATCACATAAAAAAAGATTGTTCTCAAACAGATGAACTTTAACTTAATGCACCACTGGACTGCCTAAAGGAAATGGGCATCTCAAAATGTAACAAAACAAGGCAGATGTTTGATCGCACAAACAGTTGCCACCTTATCAATCATGCAAGATTGCAAGCAAGGCACCTAATCTATCAGGAAAAAAAAAAAAAAAAAAAAGCAACACTAACTGGACCACAATAGACACACATCCTCAACGAACAAAGCTGGGACTTGTTTTATTTAATAGTGATGTTGGAGCAAGACAGTCCAATATAAATTATTCTGCTAATCTTTTTAATAATTGGATTTGACTAATTCTATGACGAGGGGTACAGTGGATTATGGGGTTAACTACTAGTTTTAGATTACGTATTCAATATCTTTTGGATTTGGTGAACGGGAGCAAAATTGAATTTTCAACATTTGGAAAATTAGAACTATAGCCGCACGACGGCACAAACTAATGACTAGGCATAATTATCATGATTTTGCTAGACATTGTGCTATTAACTCAGCTAGCTAATTAGGTTACCAGTATAGAGTTTTATTAGCATTTGAATTCTTTCTTTGGGTTGGACGAGTTGATAGCTGGCAAGTGTGATGAATTTAATAATTTACATAAACACTGTCACGAAATGAAATAATTTGTTTCAGTAGCTTAGAAATTTGTTACAACCAGGCCACATCGCAACGATACGGATAAAACTTCATTCCATGTTTGCAAGTACTCCAATAAAGAAATAGATTAATTCACCAACACACTTGTAAAATCCTTAATGATAATCCCAATAAAGTATCATTATGTTTTAAGATGCGAGTATAGCAATAATTACACCATTAATATCAGCAACCAAGGATTCTATTCAAATACTTCCCCCCCCCCTCTCTCTCTCTCTCTCTCTCTCTCTTTACACAGAGGTGTGGATGGTATCGTATAGGAACATACCTTGTAGCCATGTAATCTTTCTTCCCATTGTTGTTCAATAGCAGTTCTCCGGTGTCAGATAAGTTTGTGCAAGGAGGTGGACACAAGTCAACTCCAAAATCATCGAGGTTGTTTAATTCAACATCCTGCAACATACCAATAAATAATTCACACACAAAAATTAGATGCTTAACTGAACCTTTTGAAAATCAACAGGAACTTTTCCATATAACATGTTATGTACAGCTGAAATAACAAAGAATTGTGAAGAAATCATCTTTGGGAAATATATTATTTTAGCAGATGAAATACATATTCTCAATTAGTCAAAAAATACACCTAGTAATAAACTAGGTTCAACTTCTTACAAAAGTGCAAGTTTACGATCACATGTTAATAAACTGTGGACCGATAGATATGTTTCTTCTTCAAACCGGGTGAGAATTATTTTCTTGACTAGTCAGAAACACAAATCCACTTACAACATTTTTCTTTTTTCCCCATGAAAAAAACACGCGTTCAAGATTATATATATAGTGGACAATTAACTGTGGGCCATATCACATGTTTTTCACCTTATGCATCCATTGAAAGTAAGAATAGGAAGTACACTTCCTACGGATGTTCAACATGATTAACAAGCTGTCTATTGATTTATAAATATCTAAATAACGATACCATTCAGTGGTTTCCCATGCTTCTATAACAAACAAAAATATCATATATAAAAATGTTGGACCACAAAATCACGCCATCTTAAGATCCAAACCACAACCCTAATAATTATAAACTACAGTGTTATGCATACTAAATTACTAACAAGATATATATATGGTGTCAAAAAAAAAAAAAAAAAAAAAAATATATATGTATATATATATAATATAAATGTGCTAGTTTCATCTAACTGTTTTATAATGGAATCAAATTCGCCTAACACCTGTATCATGATGAATAACAGTTTGATGAAGTCTCACAGCTGACTTGAACTTACAATTTGAACAGCATAAGAACAGGTATGAAGTAAATGAACACGATAATCAATAACAACATACCACAGAAGGGGGATCAATGACACCTAGGTCACCTACACATTTGCCATCCTTAACACCAAAGCATCCTGGTGAGGTATCAGAATCCCTGCAAACACTTGTGCATGTGAAATACTGAAAATACACACACACTAACATGTATTAACAAGTTTAAAAAAATGCTTAGTAATCAATTCCATAGAAGCATAGTAAAGTGGTGATGTAAATTGATAATCAATTCACTGTAGTTACCTATTCTACCTAAACTGGTGGCTAACTTTCAGCAGCACAAACAAAAAGTTCACACTTTTGGAATAAAAGAGTAATGACAGCATGGTGGCATCTAGAAAATGTTATTGAAAATTTATTTTTTAGCAAAAAAAATATTAATGTTCATCTAACATTTGCATACAATACAGAGAAAAAAAAAAAGTACACACTTTCTTTTTCTCCAGTTCAACTCATGGTTAATGACATGTCATTGTACAAAAAATCTGAATACTTTCACTTCGAGAAGTATGCAATACCCTTTCCCCTTAATTTCTTTCCCCTTTCAAAGGGAGGATATAAATTATCATTCTCCGTTGTGTCTGCCTCTTCCATTTCACAAAACATAGGTAATACCAATAAAGTGTTGTCCACCTTTGCATTCATATCTTTCATACTTGGGTAAAGAACACCACGGTCCAAAATAGACGTGATAATTGAAACCAGAGTACCAATTTCTATTCAATGGTTAATTAAGTTGCGGCTCAAAGAATAGCAATCATTCTACCAAACGTAAAGACAAAAGTCTGGATTAAATATTAATTTTTTTAAAATTCAGGTCCGTGTACTTCGATGATCCACAAGAGTTCATAATTATAAGTAGCCCATGTACGAAGTCTAAACCCTAACTTTAGCAAAGGGTAAGATCACCAACATCTCAATTTTAAAAGGCAAAAAGCAAGTCTGTACAAAATGCTTCTGGACTAATGTTGTCATAGGAGCATTATTACAAATCTTATGTAACCCCATCCATATAAACTAAATTATAGAGCCTGACCCTGTTCAAAAGCCTCTTCGAATAATTAAAAAAAAAAATCTCCAAATGGAAAATCTTCCCAAAGAATCAATCAGAAGATCTAACTGATTTTGTCTTCATATGCAGATAAGGACATGATAGAAGCCAAGTGTATACTCCAACCATTTTCTCACAGTTCAACTCTTCATAGATTCAGGATCCTACCTTCTAGTAAACAAAAACTTTAGTCTATACTGCAGTTAAAGATGGCTGACTAATAATAGCCTGCACTAATCCTGATTGTCAGAAGATCATTTAAACATTCATGAAATTTCCACTTGGCATATCAAGTTATGCAATACAGACAATCTAGTCTTGGAATGAAAACTCAGTATGGAGCATCAGTTGTTTACCAAATGAATTCGAAGGTGAAATGTTGAACCATGGCATATAAGTGTTGTTACTTTTTATAAATGAGATAGAATAAGGGAAAAAAAAAAAAATTAGGAATAACATAAACAATCCACTCTCAATGCACCTATAAGGCTATAAGTTCCCAGGCTTCATCCTTGCCCTAGCACACAGTTCAGTTCTTAAGTAAGCACTCTCAATATCTAATTAAATTATTTTACTTGTGAGACAAGTTTTTTTTGGTTGACGAAGGCCTAGTGGACACAACTAAACTGATGTAAGCACAAGGTTTTCAGCCATATAAGAAGCAAATAAGGAACATGATAGCATAGATACTCTACAATGAATTTTCACCTACCATACCAAACTTGCCAAGTGTTTATCACATCAAGCTAAATTATTAGACACATTAATCTATAATGCACTTATTAGCTTTCAAATATTAAAGGGTCCACATATGTTCACATGGAATTTTTGTGAACTTTTAAAAGAGCTTTCCAATATAAAAGGGTCAAGGTAAATTTTCAATATTAAACTCTTAACTCATTAGGGCTAGATACAAATTCCAATACACTCCAGGTACATGCAACTACGCAAGTCACAAGTCTATGATAAGTTTCCAAGTTCATCCTTAGCTAGTTAATGCAGAACTCGACAATACACGTGGAATAATTGAATCCTAATCAATGCTAAGGGATCCATGCAAATTACATCTTCATATGGTCTACTACAGAAAGCTGCACTAATCAATACTACATGTGGAGTATCTAATGAATTCCTAAACAGCCTTCCAATGTTAAAAGATGTGATCTAAATACAAAAATGAACACTCTATACCAAATTCATACCGATCTTCATCTTAGCATACTAAATCCGTTTTGAAGTATTGAATTCATCTAAAGCAGTCAATGCAAATTTTGGTAGTAAACCACACAAGGTATTCAGTAAATTATTCAAATAAGCTTCCAAATATGAAACATTCAAACAAAACAGTATCATGCTATTTCATCAAAAGACATAGCTATAGTAACATCTATAAATCTGATTCATGCACGTACACATGTATTCACCTGGATCAATCCAGGAGCACGAACTCAACCTAAACATGTATTAGCCATATTAGCCATAAACATCAAGGTGTGCAAATTCAGCATAAAGTATTATGTTCAGCTTCATTTATATACCATAAAGCGGCCGTGCACAAAGACCTAAACGATAACATAACTCGAACAATCCCGCTGTACAATCTCACCAGTAACATAACATAAACTTATTCGAACAGCAATTCATTCAACCGCCTTAAAATAGGACCAAATATAAGGAAATTTGAAGCAAATTAATCAAAATTTCACCTGAGAGGAGAGGATTTCGCAGGCACTCGCTTAATAATCACGCTTGAACCGCTAGGAATTCTAATGCTTTCATCCTTATACTCTGAATTCAACACAAACAATAATCAGTAAATCAAAATCTCATATTAAAATTGCATGATTAATCGAATTATTAGATAAACAAATTCAATCATAAAAATTGAATAAAATTGATAAACAAATTCAATCAAAAACATTGAATAAAATTGAAAAACCTTGGCCAGAAAGAAAATCAGAGAAAACGAGGTCGGAATCTTGACAAAGATTGAGGTGCTTCTTCAAAACGATTTTTGATTTGAGATCGCGAATTGAAATTGATGATTGTTCTCCAATATCAACAGAATCGAAAGTAGCAGAACTTCTGAATTTGAATCGAACACTAGCCATTGCAGATTTGAAGAACGAAGACGAAGTTTATCATATGATGCTATGGAAGAAATAGAGAGAGAGTGAGAGAGAAAAGAGAGGAAAATTGGGGGCGAAATTGCTGACAAGTGTGATTATTTGCAGTACTTGTGTTCGTATAAATATGTTCTGTTTGCGTGGGTTGGTATAAAGTATTGTACTAATAGTATAATCTACTTGATGAGTTGATGTAAAAATCTCGATTGATTATGGGCTTGGAGGCTTTGGATGCAACTAGGGATGTCAATGGGGCGGGGCGGGGCGGGGCGGGGCGGATGTTGACCTTCCCATCCCCATCCCCACCTAACATTTTCATACCCATCCCCATCCCCGCGGCGGGTCTAATATTCATCCCCATCCCCGCCCCGGCGGGTACAACTCCAAAACCATCCCCGCCCCACCCCCCCACTTGGATATCCATCCCCGCCTAATCCCCACCAAATACCCGCCTAATCCCCACCCAAGACCCACCAAATTTCCGTGTCTCAAATACACAATCCTACATAATTAATACGGATTATAATATTAAAAAAAAATTCTTAATATTACATACATTTTTGTTTATAATATAAGTGTAGTACAAATATTATAATTAATATTTACTTCACGTAATTATTTTATAAAATAATATAAAAGTATATAGATGTGGGTATGAGGTGGAGATGGGGCGGGTACGAAGTGGGGCGGGTGGGGCGGGGCGGGGATGGGGCGGGTACAACTTAAAATCCACCCCCGCCCCATCACCCATGGCGGGTATCGTTTTCATCCCCATCCCCGCCCCACCACCCGCCAAACCGAGACCCATCCCCGCCCCACTGGGGCGGGGATGGGGCGGGTCTCCTACTTGACCCGCCCCACTGACATCCCTAGATGCAACCCAATTTGCGTTGTGCATCTCTGTCTCAGGATACAACATACTCCCATAAGATGTGCCATTGAAATAGTGGTTGAAGTCAAAGTATAATAAACATGAGGTTATAGGTTCGATCATTAATGCTAACAATTCATTATTTTTACAAAAGAAGAATGTGGTTTGGTGGTTGAGTTGGGAAAAAAGCTAACTCTTGGTCATTAGTTCCAGTCCTAAGCCTAACATTTGCACAGCTTTTTATTAAACAAATCTTGTCACGTTGGTAAAAGAGTGATGTATCTTTGCATGAGAGCTAGGATCAAATCCTATTCATAACATTTTAGAACTGGCTTCAAAAATTTTTGCAGAGATAGATAAAACTCTCTAAAAACTCTCTCTATGGAGAACCAGCCACCGCAACCAAATTTGCCGAAGGTGCTTGATCAACTTGCTCGCTCTAATAAAAAACCAAATTAGAGCGAGCAAGTTGATCAAGAATGACACTAGAAAGAACCGGGAAATGGAGTTGGAGATGCAAGATAACAATCCGAATCCACAACAGAATCCGAGACCGATGAGAATCAGTCAAGAAGGAACTATGAATTTAGGTACGACGACATCTCCAAAGTCGTTCCGCGATCTTCTCAGAGACACTCAAATGGACCCTGGCTGGCAGGGACTCACCAGAACTGGGAAGATGATGATGATGTGTCGGATGATGACATAGCACCGGAAGATATTAAGGATTATGAGCGATGCCCTGTTATTCTCTTAACCAAAGAGGAGAAGAAAGCAATTCGCAAGCCATGGAGAAATACTCTAATTATTCGAATGTTTGATGGCAGCCTAGGGTATATGGGATTGATGAAGAGATTGAAGAGAAAATGGCAGTTAGAGGGGGGAATGTCCCTTACTAACATTGGATATAAGTATTTCATTGGTTTAATAACCAAGATGATTACAACTATGTCTTAACTCAAGGTCCTTGGTTAATTGATGACAAATACCTCACAATCCAGAAGTGGACACCTAATTTCATCCCGGAAGAAGCCTTTTTAAAAGTCCTTACAGCATGGGTGAGAATTCCTAATTTGTCTGTGGAATACTTTGATAAGGATTTCCTCAAGAAAATTGGTGCAAAAATAGGGAAGGTAATTCGAGTGACTAAATCAACTTCCTATGCAGAGAGAGGGCAATTTACTCGACTGAGTGTTGAAATTGATTTATCTAAACCATTACTCTCTAAGTTCTGGCTAAAAGGGAAAATCTGGCGCATTCAATATGAAGGAATCAAGCTCATATGCTATAAGTGTGGTAAGCTTGGTCATGTGGAGGAACAATGTGCATCAACTAATGCTAATGATGAAATGATCGTTAATGAAGGTAATGATCATATTAATAACACTCCAAAGGAGAAAATTATTATCCCAGATCAAAAGCCAGAAGAACAACATGATTATGTATCATGGATGCTTGTCAAAAAACCGACGAGGAAACGGAACCCTAGACCGGAGAAACCAGCTAATGGAAATGCCGGGAAAGATGTTAATCAGGGCAAGAATCAAAATGGAGGGCTATTTCAAAATTCAAAACAGAATAACACATGGGATTCGGGTTCAAGATTTGGGGCACTAATGGTGGAGGAAATCCAGGAAATTAACCAAATTAAAGATATTAATTTGGAAGATCTCCAATCTGATGAGATGGCAGTTGGCAATAAAGAATATCTTTCAAATAATTCTGGTGGTGGAGAGATAGCAATTAACTAGGGGGATAAGTCTCAAAAAGATTCTCAAGTGATAAATTTCCATCCAGGAAATAATAAACAAGGCAATAAAAATCCCCAACAAAAGAAATATGGTAACTTTACTGGGCCCAATAATTACCAACAGAAGAATAACCAAAGTCCTACCCCGTTGCAACCAATTACTAATGCAAATTCCTTAAAGTCAACTACTCTAGGCCATAGTCAAGGCATTATCTTTGGAAAAGAAAACGCTAATTTTGAAGCCACAATATTCACAAAGCCTATTCAGAAGCAAACTATAGTCGAAACTCAAGAGGACATTATTGTAGAAGAGATTGAAGCTACTAATAATGAACCAATTCCCAATGGAGGTGATTTCCCTCTGAATCCCCCCCCCCCCCGAGAAGATCATATGCTCGGGACAGACAATGGAGTTACCTTAATTAGTCACAGCAGACCCCCTGACACACGTGATGGAGGTTCGGATGGAGACATGGATCGAACCACTCCTGGAGCCACCGGAATTGGTGGTGACACTAATGGTTCCAGTTGAAATAAAAAGGTTATTAAGACTCTTAACTGATGCTTATTTAAGTTCTCTTAATTATACATCTGTTTTAATGAAAGATAGTTTACCAAATCTAGCTCCTCATTACATGCCTATATCTTGTATGATATGGAACGTTCAAGGTGCGGGTAATAAGGAATTTGTTATTGCCTTAAAAAGAAATTATTTGTATTAATAAACCTAATGTGGTGGCTCTTGTTGAAACACACATGGGGGTGCTCAAGCGCAGAAAATTGCAATAGCTATTGGTTATAATGGTCACACTAGAGTCGATGCTCAGGGCTTTAGTGGTGGAATTTAGATTTATTGTAAGCCAAAACTAGTGATTGTTGAACCTATTCATAAACATGGTCAATTTATTACTATGGATATTAAACGAATAGGGAGTGATCCGTGGTACTATAGCAATTTATGTGAGCCCGGATCCTACAAAAAGACAAGAACTTTGGAGAGAATTAAAATATTTTGCCTCTACTCATAATAAACCATGGTTATTAGCAGGGGATTTTAATGATACAAGATTTTCTTGGGAGCGAAGTTCAAGTTGTCAAGAGACTTCACGTTGTGTTGCCAGATTTAATGAATGGGTAGAAGACATGGGGTTACTTGAAATTGAATTTAGTGGGGCTTCTCATACTTGGTCTCGTGGAAATAGTGTTGATACTTGGCATAGTGCTCGACTAGATCGGGCTATTTGTAATGGTGATTGGAGTTTAAAATTCCCAAATGCGTCGGTTAAACACCTTCCAGCAATTCAATATCACTACAAGAAATAGGTCGATTTCCGACGGACTGTTTTCGACGGACATGTATTTCCGTTGGAAAAATCAAAAATTCCAACGGAATAAAAATCCGTCAGAATATATGGGATTTCCGACGGAATATTTAATTATATTCCGACGGAATACTCCGTCGGAAATCCCATATATTCCAACCGAATACAAATCCGTCGGAAATTTCCGACTAAATATTCCGTCGGAAATCCCATATATTCCGATGGAATATTCCGTCAGAATTTAATTATATAAAAAAACCAAACCCCCCCCCCCTTCATTTGTTGTCTGATCTTTTCTCTCTCTCCTCTCCACATACGGTTCCTCTTCTCTTCCCCTTTCTCTCTCCTCCCTCCTTCTCTCTCCTCCGCCCTCTCTTTCTCTCTCTTCTCCTTCTCCTTCCTCCATTTCTCTTCTCCTCTCTCCTCCGCCCTCTCTTTCTCTCTCTTCTCCTTCCTTCATTTCTCTTCTCCTTCTCATTTCTCCTCTCTTCTCCTTGCGCAACCAACACCACCACCGCCGCTGCGTAACCAACACCACCGCCACCACGAAGTTTGTTTTGATTATTTTCAAGGTTTTTTAGGCCAAATTCGACCATTAAAAGCCTAGATCTAGACTTTTCATGGCCGAATTTGGCCTTGTTAAACCGTTTTCGTGGTGAAATTCAAGCCCTTTTCAATTTAAGGTATGTTTTATGTTTTAATTTTTTGATTTTTTAATTATATTTTTCTTTGTTTTTTTTTAAAAAAAATTTGGGTTTTAAGTTGTTGTTTGTGCGTGTGTAATGTGTGGGCTGGTGGTGGGTGGCGATTTGTGAAGGTGGTGGGTGGTTTCGTGGATTCTGACGTGGGTTAGAGTTGGTTACGATTTTGGTGGTTTCGTGGGTTTGGTGGCGTGGGTTTGGGTGGTGGTTGTGGGTGGACGTCTGTTCTAGATCTGGGTGGTTTCGGGTTTTTTAGGGTAGTTTCGGGTATTTTTGGGTGGTTTCGGGTTTGGGTGGTAGTTGTGGGTGGCCGTTACTTAGGGTTTTGTTGGTTTCGTGGCGTGGGTTTGGTAGTGTGGGCTGGTGCTTGTGGTGTGGGCTGGTGGTACGGGTTAGGGGGACTGGTAGGTTAAGGTGGGTGGTGTGGGCTGGTGGTCCAGTTTAGGGGCACTGGTGGGTTAAGGTGGTGCTAGTGG